AGTCTATATTCCCTGACCCGAGACTAACACTATATTCATAAATTTATTTATGTATAAAAAAATGCAATACATTACTTAAAAAAAAAAAATTGGAAGTCGATTTTTTTAATACTTTTTCTTTTTTTTAAATTTATAATTCCATTTTTATGTGAAAAATATTTTACTTATCACATGGTTGAAATGCTGCATTTGATACTGATTTGAAAAATTTGCTTTTCCGAAAGAAAAAAAAATTCAGTATTATATGCTTTTAAATTGAGAAATTTCCTCTTGTTATTGGTATTTTGTTACTGGCTTTGTTTTTGGTTTCATGTTCTTAAATGACGAAGTTTTCTTATTCCGGACTAATAAACTGCTTTTCCGGAAGAAAAAAAAATCAGTATTATATGCTTTTAAATTGAGAAATTGTTTCCTCTTGTTATTGGTATTTTGTTATTGGTATTTTGTTACTGGCTTTGTTTTTGGTTTCATGTTCTTATATGACGACGTTTTCTTATTTTAATTCATCTTTAACGAAGTGTAGACGCAGAACAATGATACTAAGCATTTAAATAGTCATACTATATAGTTTGTAAATAGTTATATAGTTTTGAAGGATTATAGTTTTTTGAATTTCAAATCGAACAAAGTGTTTTCTAATTAAGAATAAATTATAAAGGTGTAAACGAATGTTTTAATAATAATAATTAAATGCTAATAGCTTATCACTTAGGCAACACTTTTTACCCTTCAATCGCTAGCAACACCTTAAAGATCGCTGTTTCTTATCTGGAAAAAATAAATAGTAGCCGGTAATTTTATTTTATTTTATAACCGCCATTTTACATTGCATTTACGACTGTCATTCCACTCCGTAGCCTTGCAATTTTAAAATAAACTAGACAAATTAGTTTTCGTGGATGACTTTTTGTGAGAAATAACCCTCAACTATGGTACATCAATTGGGAAACCTATCACGGTTAGCTTGATGGCAAGGAGATTTTAAGCCATGATCTGTCTAGCACAGAGGATGTCTTACGTCAGCATTGTGGTCCGGCGCAAGGCATGTGCAGAATTCGCATTTTTGGGTTAACTTTGGGATCGTATTATTGTCTACATAAATTTAAATTTTCTTAAAAATTTAAGTTGCTTATATGAGGCAGTAAGGTAAAGCAGTGTTCCCCAACCTTTTTATCACCACGGACCTGTCAACGTTTGATAATTTTACCGCGACCCGCTGGGAGGGGGGGGCGATGATTGTTTATGTTTTAGATTATTTTGATCTATTAATTTTAATTTAATTGTATTTGAACAAGCTTTCAAAATAAAATACAGTTACACCAGAAAATAAATTTAAAGTGATTTAACATTTTAACTTACTAGAACGTTAAATTAATGAGAACCTTGAGCTTGTTTCTTTGCAATGAGACAGTTTCATTAATGGAACACAGATATTTTTAATTTTAGGTATAAACCTAGGAATTTAAATTCAGTTTTAATAACATTGGCGGCCCTGTACCATTTGATCCACGGACCAGTACCGGTTCGCAGACGGGGGGATTGGGGAACACTGGTGTAAAGTACCACATATAAAGGACAGAGTTCCTAGATACTTATTACGCATTAGTAACTTGATTACATTCAGGTTGTCTAGTTTTATTTTAGTAATATCAGTACCTGCTTATTAAGTTGCTTTAACGCTCTAAATAATGTCTGCTTTATGAAATTTATTCAGAAATTAATGCTTTAGATGAGTAGCACTACTGTAAAATACCACAAATAAAGGACCACGTTTTTATATTTTTGTAAACTTTATTTTAAGTAGTTGTAGCTCAAGCATTTAATATGCACCTCTTCATTCGAATTCTTATTCCGTCTGAAATATTCTATTTTTAATTTTCGATCACTCAAAATAAATATCTTTCTGTTAATTAATATCTTTGAATTTTCAACATATTTTCGAAACATAGTAACATTTAAAAAAAATTCATTTAACACAGATATCGTCACTTTTCCCTCTACATAAGTTATACGATCAGGGGGGAAGGGGATAGAATGAATTGGCAACAAACCACAAAAACCCCCAATGCTGAATTATTCGATTGAGGAAATGCGAGCTTTACCCGGATTTTAACGTACGTTTCCTGTCGGAGAAGCATTGGGGTAAAACAAACGGTGTGCCACTATGGTGGTAGGATATCCTATGAAATACCTCCTTCCTTTTAACAAAACCCTATCGAAAAACATTCACTAGGGGGGAAGAAAGAGAGGGAACGAAAATTTTTGCACATATTAATATTACGGCAAATTTGTAAGTAATAAAAAATTGTATTCAGATTATCTTTTTGTAAATTAGCTTTTAATTTAATGTTGATAGGCAATCATGTTTCCTCATATAAAACTGTACTTATTAACTTTACAATAAATTTGTAAACTTAGAAAGAAAAAAAAACATGTTTAGATTTTTTTTTCTTTGACAATTTTATTTTTATGCTGATCTACAATAATTTTTGCTCTAATAAAACACTTTGCAACAATTTTTTTTTCATATTGTCTTATTGTCAGTTAATTTTTAATTTGAAGTTAAATGACATGAATTTTTGCAATTATGAAACTATACATATTAACATCACGTGCAGGTTAAAAAAAAAAAATGTTTATTCATGTTGTATTTTCGATAGTTAACTTTCATTTTTATGTTGTAGTTACAAAACATAATATACAATGCACCAGAAAAAAAATGGACCACCCTGAATAACTTGTGATCTAATGATCGGATTTTCACGTTCTCGGGCTCAATCTTAATCGGTCAAAAGGGTGATCTATGTTACATTAATTAATAAGTACAAACAATATTTTAAGTTACGAAATCAGACACAAAAACGTACTTTCTCTGAATGAACATATCTCTTTTTTCGACGGATTTGGATTTTCGATCCCCAGAATATAGGGAGCAACGGCAATCTGGGAAATATGGTCTCAATAGTTTGGTCAGGAGAACGCTCCGAAGTTAAGATCCCTTAATGTTAATTTTACTTTTTGCGTATTTCAATATACCTCGAGAACTTTTTAAGCGAATTTAAAAAAAATTGCACACAATTCGTTTTTCCAAAGATAATTCCTTGAAAAAAATACATTTTAGTAAATATTTATTATTTTCTATTATTTTATTTAATAATAGTTGAAAAAAGTTTTGAATATTGAAATTTTAAAAATTTTTACATCATTTTAAAGTATGTAATTTTACATGACAAAATACAAAATTTGAACAAATACGGTAGAAAAGTTAAATTTCATTAAGGTATCCAAACTTTGTATTTCTCTTCTAATTAAACTATGGGGCCCATATTTTTCAGACTACGACTACCCCTTATATTTAGGAGATCAGAAATAAAAATTGGTCGAAAAAAAAGTATGTCTATTCAGAGAAAGTCCGTTTTTTCCGTCTGATTTCGTAACTTCAAATGTCGTCTACACTTATTAATTAGCATATTTGAGGTCACTCAAAATGATAATTAAGATTGAGATTAAGATTGACCATTAGATTTAGTCCTAGAAAGTGAAGATCCGATCATTAGATCAAAAATAATTCAGGTTGGTAAGTTTTTTTTTTCCCCATCGTACTTTAATACAAATTCGAATTCTAAATGGGTATATTGCTTTTAATTTCAGTAGAAAGTGTAAGTTTACAGCTAAATGAATCAACATTTAAAAAAAAATTGTTTCATAACTTTTGCAACTATACAATTCAAGAAATGTTTACTTTAATAAATAAATTCACATTAATTGTTATTAATTCATTATAAGTCACAAAAACATGTTAAATTGAATTTATGAAATAATTAAGAGAAAGATTCACGAATTGCTCATTATGTTAAATATTACATTCACAAAACTATTGAATTATATGTATTAAATAAATAATAAAACAATTCAAAAAAATTTACATTTCAAATACATTGTGCAGATTTATAAAACATCTTGCACTGAATTGATAAAACTTATATAAAAAACTTTTTCTAGAGTAATTATTTTAATAAATATAGCATTTATAAAGCATTTTGAATTGTATATGAAACAACTAATAACATGATTTAAAAAAAATTGATTTTATTTTTTAAAAAAAGAGAGAAAAAAAATTAGAATTTGTTTTTATTAAATGTTATTCTATATTTAATATTACATGTTTATATTATTTTACATCATTTTGTATATTAAAATAAAAACACTAAAAATATTCAAATTTTTATTTTTTAAGGATTTTTTTAATTTTTATAAGTTTAGTTTGTATAAAATAAAATAAAAAATTCTTCATTTTTGTGCACTTGTACCTTCAACGAAATTATTTTTTTAATAAAATTTATTAATTTATAAGAATTCTTTAAATATAATTTTTTACTGAACTGAAACATGTTTAGACCCATTAAAAATAATAAAATATGTACATATCGTTCAGTTATACTAGGTACGCACCTGAAAACGAAAAAAGTATCTTGTAGTAATTTGTTTGGATAGAAGCCTCATAACTTTACAAAAAAACATCATTATTGCAATGTCTCATTGATGAAATAAGATTAAAAAAAATTGAGTAATGATTAAAAACACAAAAAATAGAAGAGAATTGCAACACATTCAAAGTAAAACTAAATTATGTGCAGAAATGATGAAATAATATTAAGAAAAATAAAGTAATGAATAAAAACACAAAAAAAATAAAAGAGAATTGTATTACATTCAAAATAATGCAACATTATGAAATAAGATCTAAAAAAAATGAAATGAATGAAATAAGATCTAAAAAAATTAAGTTATGAATAAAAACACAAAAATAAAAGAGAATTGTAAAAATAATACTAAATGATGTAATAAGTAAATGCAGTTAACAAGATGGAAAAGTGGGAGGGGGCTAAAAATGTCCCCCTCCATCAAGAAAAGGGAGGAAGGGGGCACCAAACGACACCTGTATCCGACAACCAGGGTCTATCTCTCGCACGTGCCACTGCTCCTCACCCCCTCCCCGATTTCATTTGCCGACGCTCACTGATGCCAGATGACACCGCGAATTGACCCCCCCCCTTAGTATCTGATCTGGAAAAAAGGGGAAGAAATTATATAAAAAAGAGGGGGATGCAACTTCCGAACCCCTCGATCTCTATTGGTGGAAAGGCCCACCTGCCCCATAGGAGCCTTGAAAAGTGTCTGCATCCGAAGTTGTGGACTCAGAAACTGTTCCAACAGAGCTTGATGAGGATAGAAAACTAGCTCTGCCGTGTTCCACCCTAAATCGAATGTTTTTACTCGCGAGTTTAGATTTAGTTTAAAAGATCGGTTTCGGATTTTTTTATTTTATTATTGTTATTTATTAGTGCCATCATGCCACGTGCTTTTTTGATCAAGAAGAAACAACAGTGTGCTCGGAATGGAACATCTTTATCCAAAACTGTGTGGACTGATGAGGATTCGAACGATGATTTGGATACTTCGCGATTCCAATCGCATTTTACACCTCTTACAATTGTTTCACCAGGTAAATAATTTTTATCTTTACTTTTCATATATCTATCATCTCTTAATTTTCCTTTTCATGTATCTATCATCTCTTAATTTTCCTTTTCATAGATCTATCATCTCTTAATTTTTCTTTTCATAGATCTATCATCTATATTATTTTCCTTTTCCATACATCATCACTTAATTTTTCCATTTCATGGAGACATCCTTGTTTAATTCCGTTTTTGTTAGATTTTTTAACTTTCATAAATATAAGTATCATAATATAATTTTCCTTTTCGGAATCTTTTAAGATTTTTTTAATTAAATTTATTACAGAGGCATTAAAAAACCTAGTGCAATTTTAAAACAAATTGAAAGATAGTTCTATGGGTACACAGCCTTCAGGATATTCTTTCAAAAGATGTATTGTCCTTTACAAGTTAAAAACATTAAATATCATATAAAAACCTTTTTTCTAAAACCCTAAAAAATTTTCCTCTTGAGTTTTTTAGAATCAAAAATGTTGATTTAGTCTTAATGAGAATTTGGTTAATTTTATAAGAATTGCACGAATAGTTCAATTGACCACATTGATTTTTCATTGCAATCACTGATAATAATTTTAGATCTATTTCAAGTGATGCTTTTTATAATATTGCTTGTCTCTTGCTGATGCTATTGCTTACTGCCAACACACCGAATTAATATTTTTGAATTATTCAAAGAGACAGAGAACTATTTATTTTTTATCGTTTCATTTTTAGTTCAATAATTAGATTTGAAGTTATATTAACCACACCACAGTGAATAAACAATTTAAAGAGGCACTCTTAAGTCCTAATAACAAACACGGGTGGAATTCTCAAAAAAAGTTCTTTTGGTTTAATTGTTATCCCCTCTCAATTCAAATAATCCTAGTTATGAGACTTAAACTTAATGATTAGCTTCATTTTATCTATAAGTTCACAATTATTAAATAACATGCAAAATAATATTAGATTGTGAAACAAAGACTTGGATGCCATAAGATTTTTGAATAATAAATTTTATTCTATATGACACTTAACATCAAAGGAATTGTTTAATACAATAAGGTTTTAATAATATATTTTTGATGTAATACGCTATTATATCTCGATTGTAAACAAACAACAACAAAAAAAATCAAAAATGGTTGCATACAAATTTGAATTTTTAAGTAGAAATAAATTTAAAATTTCTTTCGTTTCCTTCACAACTTATCAGTTACTTTTTTCTTTGTTTTAAAAATTATTAAAGGAAGCAAAACAGTAATATGTTTTTCCCCCAATAAATTCGCAAGTAAAAAAGTACCCTCAGTTGTTTGACATTTTAAATATCGTTATGTATTTTCTCATGTTATCAGAAAACAACGTAAAGATAAAGTTTTTTAACAACTATTCTTTAACTTTATACAATATTTTTGATATCAGTAATTAAGCAGTTTTAGAACTTAGTTTGATTATTCCTTTGAGGCAGGAAAGAAGAGACTTCGTTTCTTAAACAATTGATTTTTATACATGTTAATCGCTTCGACTCTTTTGATGTTTTAATATCCGAAGTTCACAGACTTTATTTACTTACGTTTTATAAAAGATATTTTGATTGATGAGATTTTTTTTAGAAGGTAAGGATTATATATATTTATGTGAAATGATTTTCTTTATTTTCGAGAATACAGCATTTCCCCCTCAATCAAGCATACGTATTATTTCATTTAATAAAAGAATGGCTTTTTTTTTTCAATCCTTCATTAAATTGTGCATGCATAAATTTGGAAAAATAGTTTAATATAACTTGTTCAGAGTAAGATTATGACTTCATAAAATATAAAGTTTGGTGAAGTACTATTGCTTGCTATAGATTCTTAAAATATCATTGTCGTTTTCATAAATTTCATGGGACTCGTGTTATTTAAAAATGTTCGAAACTATTTGCTTCATTTATATTAATAAGTTAAAGGATTTATTTATTGTAAGATACTTTCAATTCTTATAGCATGCATGTTTAAATTATGTTAACGAAACTTAAAATTTTATTAAGTAAAAAAATAAATAACTTATTAATAACCAAATTTGTGTACTGTTGTCATGTATTAAATGCTGTCATTTAAAGGGATCTGCGAAAATCTTTTGTTAGCTACCACTAAAAAACAAAAATGAATCATATGCATGTTTACAGATCCATATTTAATTTTTGTTCATTGCAAACATATTACGTTTTGTTTAATTCATACCCTACAAATATTATAAAAATGAAACTTTTTTTATTGACAAGAAAGCTGCCTTTATAAAAACGTGTCTTGAACGAAATTGATATTTTCTATTACTAGCTTTAGATTTGAAAAAAAAAGCCACAATCGCCGACTTATTCAGATCGATTTAAAGATATTTTAAAGATAAATATGTTATAGTAAACATGAACGTCTTTATTTTGAAAAATAAATACTAAGAATGAAATAAATAAGTTACCACTCTTTATTTCTTTACAAATTGACATGTTCACGAAATAGGGGCATTGATGTCGCATAGGATCGATGAAAATAATGAAATCTCTTTACTACCACAATTTTCGTTTTTTTGAAAACAGAATCTCGTTTTGGATATTATCAAAAATTTGTTTTTCATTTATCAAAATTCATTTCAATTATCCCATATCAATTTATGCTTATAAACATAAATAACAAAATAATGGTAATTGATAACCATAATTTGGGTGAGAAATGTGCATCGTTCTTAAAATTTATCCTAGATTGGATTTTAGCAAGAGATGCTTACGATATTCTTCATTATCATTTTCAATTTTTAAGTACAGTTTTCTAATAATCCAATCTGTTTAAATCACTTAAAAAAGCTTTTTTATATTAAAAAAGAAAAGGGTGAGCAATTTTAGCTTTTATAAATAAATCAGAAAAAAAAGTTATTTCAATTAAAGAATCACCAATTTTTTGCTAAAGTAATAACTACTCCGTATATTCCTATTTCCTTATATAAGAATTTGCTTTACCTGGATCTTTCAAAACGAAAGTGTTTTATTAAAAGTAAAAAATATTTTTATATTCAAATGGAAATAAATAAAAATAATGAAAAATCGTGAGTCATTTTTCAAAATAGTTTGCACTTGTGAAGTGTGAAGCAAACCGTTAAATGCAATAATCGTAATTTATAAATCCTTCTTCTAATCATTCCATATATTGATTAGAAGCATGATCACAAGCATGAGTACAATAACAAATAAGTTTCAGCGATTATTTTTATTTATTATTTAAATAAAAAAAATTTAAATTATTAAAATTACTCTATTTCTTAAATAATTCATTTATTAGTTAAGATTTAAAGTTATAAATTTTTTTCCATGCAATATAAGACATGTTTGCCTCATGTATTGTGTTGGCAGCTATAGAAGTTCTATCTTGCACGCATTTAAATTGTTTTTAATATTTACTTTTTTTTAATGAATCAGTGTATTTTTAAAATTTAGTAATAATTATTAAGTTCCTATAAGGCGAAATAATTCATTTAGTTGAAACAATATATTCTATTAAAGTGTGAAAGTAATTAGAGGAAAAGTGAAATCATTTGAACTCATAAAATTGAAAATGATTGTTAGTTTTAATAATTTGTTCAGATAATAAAGGAAAAGAATTTATAAATGGAATAATCTCTTCTAATAGTGCCTCAAAAAATGACCAAGGTTAATAATGTATAGTTATAAAATAGTAAATATTTGTTAAATGAACAATATGTTCTTATAAAATACGAAAAAAGAGTAAAATGAAATAATTTGTTTTTAAAAATAGTAAAATAATCGTTTAGAAAAAATAGTTATTTTCCAGTGTGAAAAAAAGAACTCTGTGATAAATATCAGTCCTAGCCAGTATTCGACGAGTACCTGTTGCATGAGATTTACCCATTTCTTAACAATCAAGGGTAACCTGCAGCATCCAAAGACTTGTTTTCCCATATTTCAACATGGATGCACGATGAGGGGAGGGCAAGTGTTGTCACATTCCCTGACTTCCTTCAGGTCGACGGAAGCCTGTTTCCGACCGGGGATCAGGTGTTTTCTGGAGATTCCACCGGAATTTTACTAAAAAGCATGACCTCTGCGGGAATCTCCAAGGTGCCGAGAAAAGGAAACGGGGGTCAAGTGAATGAACCACACCTTGGGAAATGGGATGGGGAGACCCTTTAGCTTCCTGCTCTACTGACTGAAAAGCCAGGAAAGACTGGTGCTGGTAGGCTTTCGAGTAGTACGTTTTCTTACTTCTAATTTTTTTTTTCAAAAAATTTCTCCCTTCTTTCTGACACCAAGCAACCAGACATGTCTAACCTTGAGGTTAAGTCTCGGGCAAAACAGGTGGCGGAATTAGTTTAGTTTGAGTACCTTTTTTTTTTCGGTTTTCCCCTTCCTTTTACACAAGCAGTAAAAAAACCTTTTTCATAGCATTTTCAAATAGTAGTAGAAATCTCATAATAGCTAAAATAATTTTTTTTCCTACTATGTATCTGATTTCTATTATGCATGACACGAAATTTAGCAAATAAATTGTGACAGTCATAATTAATATATGGCTAAAGGCATCCCATAGACAATTTTTCTAATTAAACTACATTTTATGATGAAATAAACGTATAAAAAGTTTTCACTGATGCAATGAATATTTATGTTGTAAATACAAAAAAAGCTCATAACGATTTTTTCTTCTTTTGTAGATGCAAAAGGACCTTACGATTTAAGCATGAAGCCCAAGAATATGGACGAGAACTCAAGTGATAGTGAGAACCGAGGTACAATATCACCGAGGTCAACAATGAGCTTGTCACCGCACCCTCCTGCAGCCCTAGTCGCACCAAAGCCTATCAAGCCCACTCCAAAAACAATGGAGGAAATAGCTGCTTCCAAATCCAACTGGCAACGACAAGTCTTACCACCTTATTTGCCTTTCAATTACTATGGTTATCCCTCCAGAACACCTGAAATTTACCCTTACAATGGCAACTATATGGTCAACCAACCACCCATGGTGCCTCCTCCTCTAGTACCTTTGGGTTCAACATCACCCAACTGGGACAGATATTCTCCTTCTAGAGAAAGGTACGAGATTGTACATCGAGTAACAGCTTCTAACAGCCCCTCTCCTGGCGCAATCTATCCTGAGTTGTATTCTGATGGTCAGGATTCAGGTCTGGCATCTTCTCCTAGTCCAAGCTCCGAAGACGGTGAAGCAGCAGCTAAGGCAGCCTCGACCAGATACCAATGCCCTGACTGCAATAAGAGCTATTCTACTTATAGTGGACTCTCGAAGCATCGATTGATGCACTGTGCTACTCAGGCTAAGAAGTCTTTCAACTGTAAATACTGCGATAAAGTCTACGTATCTTTGGGTGCCCTTAAAATGCACATCAGAACGCACACCTTGCCCTGCAAGTGCAAGTTGTGCGGTAAAGCCTTCTCCCGACCTTGGCTGTTGCAAGGACATATCAGGACTCACACTGGTGAAAAACCCTTTTCATGCCCTCATTGCAGTAGAGCTTTTGCTGATAGATCCAACCTCAGAGCACATCTGCAGACTCATTCAGAGGTAAAAAAGTACAGGTGCAAAACTTGCAGCAAAACTTTTTCACGAATGTCGTTATTGCTCAAACACGAAGATGGAGGCTGCGCAGGCGCGATTGCCAACCAACAACAAGTTCAGTAGCATGTAGAACAAAAAAAGACATTTAAAATTATTTAACTATGGAGGCCAAAAGGTTTTATAAACTTTAGCGCTTAGTGAGAGCTACATTTTATAAATTTGTAATTCATATTTGAATGTTTATGGTCTAAAATGAGTTTTTAAATAGAAGTCATGAGAATTTTTTTTTTTTAAAGTTTAATTTTTCATGATAGACCGTTTTACGGCTTCTGTTTAAATGCTTCATGTTTTGGCGAATGAAAAAGAGAAGATATATTTATGTGTGGTGTATTGAATATTTTCAATACATTTATGAAAATTATATATTGTTTTTGGCATAAAAGAATTATGATTGATATGAGACTGAAAGATTTGTATGCAAATAGATATATTTATCAAATATGAGATCTAGCTAGTCTTTTGATTGAGATACAAAATCCCTTTCCTTATTTATAATGTATCAAATTCTTAAAAAAAAATATTTGGAAAGAAATATTTTTCTTTTTACTTGAAAAATCCGTCCTATTAAAAAGAAAGAAATTCAAACAAGTTTGTTTTATTTTTTCCTATCTTATCAGACCTAATTTAAAATTAACTGATTTCCTTTGTTAAAATCACAATAATTTTTATTCCCAATTTTTAATTCTATTTTGTGAACATAAAATGTTCTTTTTTTTTTTCTTTTTTTTTTAATTTGCGAAAATGAAATCAACCTTTTTTTTTAATGTATAAAATTTATAATGTTTGCCTTTATTAAAGTCAGACGCGTGATGTTAACGTTTTCCTTATTAGAATCTTCGATTTTTATTTATAAAATGCAAAGTTAATTCATCATATTTTTTTTTCCTTCTTATCATCTGTAAGTTCACTATTTTTTCTTAATTATTTACACGAAGTTTACGAAATATATTTTTAAAAGTAACTTGGAGCAAATCCTTTATTTGTGAGTATTTTTTTCCTCGAAGGAATATAATATAAAAATATTTGTAAATGAATACTAGACTAGCATAAGTAATTCAAAACCTGAACGAATCCTTTATTTGAAAAATATTTTTTTGCACGTAAAAAAAATACAAATTGTAGTATCGAAGTATATATTTAAATATTTTTTTAATAAAGGTTAAGAATTCAAAGTCTTCCAAAAAGTAGTCAGAGTTGATACTTTCGCCATTTGGACGAAACAGCCCACCTGTTCGGGTTTTTTAAAAACCGGAAGGTCGTTGATGTGTTGTTTGTGGTCTGCAAGGCGTCACCACTTCACCTTGCACCTGTTGCCCAGGAATTTTTTCAATAAGGTGGTTCAAGGTTCAATCAACGACTTGTTGTCTTTGACTCTCTTTCCCTTTCCAATTAAGATTTTCCTCCAGCGGTTCAAGTTCTTCGCTCATTTCGAGCACAGTGACCTAGATCAACTGGATTCTTTCAGAAAATTTTATCATCTTCTAGTTGTCCACCTGGCGATTGTAAACTTAGCCTCCCCCCCCCTATTTCAAGTCTTCCTAAACAGTGATAGATATCTTGATGGATGGTTATTTTTAATCATAATTTATAAGATTATCCCACCATTAAAAAACATCGAACTTTCGTTTATTTTCAAAGTCAAAGATCAGCCATAAGAAGGCGTTTTATTTTAGGGAGAAAAAAAAATTAATTTGGACCAGGGTCTGGAATAAAATTTTTAGTCATATATTCGATGTAATAACTTAAAAATTTACATCTTTCTGCTTAGGTAATAAATATCCTCGCAATTTACAGCAAAACTATTTTCATCTCTGCGAGTTTAAAAAAAACCCGGACTCCAAATTTTATCATGAATATTTCAAAAGAAGTTACGTAATTTAAAAATTTTAAATTAATTACTTTATTTTTAATGAATTTAATTCTATTTCTCGTTAGTTATAATTTTTTTTTTTGTGCATGCTTTTTTGAGTTGGCCATTTTTAGTAATATTCTAAAATATTCCATGGCTTAATTGTTACCAACACAGATTAATCTGTGTCAAATTAAATTTGAAAGAGGAAGAAAAAAAAACTTACATTCCATTTTATTATGTATAAATATAAAAAAAATACCTCATTTCCTAAAATGTACAAAAGAGAAATATTTTTTTAAAGAAAAAAAAAAGAATAAGAGAAAATATATATTTTGTATGATTTTAATGCACAGTATAATGTGCCATTTTTTGTTCCTTTTGGCAAATTATATGAACTAAATGTAGTATTAAATAGAAAATCTTGTATATAATATTATATAGTATATATATGCTCCATTGGAGTGAAAATTCTATTATAACACTAGTCAATTCTTGTATATTAGTTCATGTTTGTTTTGTCCTTTTTGAATATTATTGTTTTTTATAAACAATCTTAAAGTGAATTCAACCCGTGCCGTGCCATTAATAATTCTACAACTGCATATATTTATGCAGTTCACGTAAAGCACTAAGCCACGTACATTTAGTCATTTTAAGTTAGACTTTAGAAAACTAATATTTGTAGTCATTCTTTGAATTCTGCAGCATTTCCTTTAACTATAATATCTTTTCCCCCTATCTCTGAAATTATTTCAATAGGTTTCATGCGATTTCAGTTTTAAGAAGTAAATATGACTTTCCTATTTACTTACATCTTAAATTGCAGAAATTTGACATGTTTTTTAAATGCCTGCCGGAGTTGCTGTAAGCTATTAAGCAACCTAAATTTGCTTTATTTATAAATTATTTAATAATATAAAATTAAGAATGTTTTGAAGTATTTTTTTATTAAAATTCAGCCATTTTTTGGAAATTAAATTTTTAACTAGCGAAACATAATCTTATGGAACCTATTAAATTTCTTTTCTTGCATACTTCAATTTTTTTTAAGGGAAAAAAAAACACTTTTCAGCTTTTAGTGCACAAATTCACAAGTACCTTCAATATCTTTTGCAAGTATATATAATAATAAATATATATGTATTTGCAAATCAATATGTATGTAAGAATATTATTAATCGTGCCTTTGTGGACAAATTTTGTTCGAATGAAATGTTTTTCAGAATGAACAAAATTGACAGCCAACCAATTTCAAACTTGTGTGCCTATAATTCGAAATTTACAATGTTAATGAATAACCTGTTTTTGAGAATCATGTTACTTGTTATCTGTTCTATTAATAGACCTATTCTCCAGGCAATTGGAATTACTTCCATACAAATGTTGATCTGTCTTATTTATGTATAGGCAATTGGAATTATTTCCATACGAATGTTGATCCGTCTTATTTATGTACAGGAGATATGTTGCACCTGATCACAGTTTATGTTTCTTATTGTTCATAAATAAAAAAAATATTTTTGAATTGAATAATTTGTTTTTATTTTGTCACAAATACTTATCTGTCTTACACAATGGAAGTACACCATATCTTAAATAGTTTGTAATAAACTATATCTTAAATAGCGATAAGTATATTATATCTTAAATTGTTGTAAGTACATCATATCTGAAATAGTTAACATTTAACAAATCTTAAAGTTTAAAAGTACATAGCATTTTTGAATGTGGAAAGGCCTTAGGAACATCTTAGATATTTTAAGCAAAATTTTTTTAAGCACTATAAGACAAAAATATGACTGAAAATATAGTTATTAATTTATAAACAAAAAAGTATTTATTTTGAGCTATTAAAGTTAAATCAAGCTCATCTAAAAAAATTCCCGTTGTTATAATATATCTTAAAATATTATGATATATCTTCCAATTGCTTAATATACCTAGATGGGAATATAATATATCTTAAAGTTTAAAAGTACATAGTATTTTTGAATGTGGAAAGGCAATGCATCTTAGACATTCTACGCAAAACTTTTTTTGAGCATTATAAGACTAAAATATAACTGAAAATATAATTAATAATTTATAAACAAAAAAGTATGTATTTTGAGCTATTAAAGTTACATCAAGCTCATCTAAAAAATTTCTCTTTGTTATAATATATCTTAAAATATTATGATATATCTTCCAATTGCTTAATATACCTTAAATGGCTGGGAATATAATATATCTTAAAGTTTGAAAGTTCATCGTATTTTTGAGCATTGGAAACACAGTACATCTTACATATTCTAAGAAAAATATATATTGAATTTTAAAGGAAAAAATAACTAAAAATATAATCACTAATTTATAAACCGTGAAACAGTAACTCATTTCAAACTATTAAAGTTTATCAAGATAGTTTTAAAGCTAAAATTTATTTCCTTATTATAATATTTCATTGCTAACTTTTTGACATTAAAAACTAGATTTTGACTTGACAAGGGTCAGAAATTGATTTAAACTAATATTGAAAGCCCAAGATAATGGCCAAGAAAGATCATAAAAAAAAGAAAAAAATGAGCAGTTGTGTAACATGGAATTTATTTACACTACACTGAATATGTAATTTAATGTAATATTAATTTTATTAAAATCATGAATTTTGTATAAAAGGTAATGTTATTTCAATTTGATTCATGATAGCGATTTATTTCGATTCCGCGAAATTTTAATAAAAGTGCTTGAAAACATAAAAATTTTGTAATTGAAATGAAACTTAAAATGTTTTTTTATAAATAATATTTAAAAAAAACACTAAGTTAAGAAATACTATTAAAAATGAATTCTACAAAGCATTACACTTCATTTAACATATTCAAATAGTTAAATAAAGTAACATATAAAGTTAAACTATAATTGTTTTCCTTTTAACTACATTTTTCCCCACCAACTACAATCATATGTTCTGTCAATATATGGTTTTTTTTTTTTTTTTTCAAATTGCAGCTATTTTTGTTAAGATATTTGCGCATTATTTATTGCAACTTTAACAGTATTTTATTTTAAACGTAGTCCGAACGAAACGTGCATCTTAAATTAAGAACAGCTCTAATTTTTGTGGATATTAAATAATAATTTAAAATTTTCACGGATATTGATTTTTAATTTCAGCAAGAATTTAGATTTTATAAAAACTAGGTAATTCGCAAATTCTTTTGACAACCTTGTTTTTGTTTACGTTTTTGAAAATAATTATAGGAGAAACAGATATTTTATTTTATTGCTTAAATGTAAGATAATATTAGTAATAACACTTAATGCTATAATGCTTATAACTATAAAAGAAAAAAATTAAAAATACTACAAGCAGTGTTTGTAGTAATGTGCATATGATAAACAAAAATGTGATATTTGAATTTTTTGGCATGACTGTTTAACTCATGCTTAAATCT